AAACATTTCAAGCTGTGTTTAAAAGCTCACTTAGTCATAGACATGACCTCTTTTTTTTTCTTCCCACCATACAAGGTAATAGAAAACCTTGACACCTCATTGTGGCAGCTGCAGAATGAGGGGAGTTAGAGGGAAAGGCTTATTTTAGGCAGATGCAGTGCACAGATGACATGACAAGAAAAGGAAGACTCTTTTGCTGTTCCAAAGACAGTTTCTCCATTGCAAAAATGTCAATGGGTTCAGCTTCAATTGGCAGGCAGCTGTGCCCAGCCTGATCTTGGGGTAGCACAGCTGGAACCTGCTGCTTGCCCAAGCTAAGAGGAGCTGGGAGATCTCACGGCCACTTTCTGTCTATTTAAAACCATGTTTTTCTCAGGTGTCTTTTTAAAATTCTTAATGGAAACTTCCAGCAAATAACCACTCTTCTTATTCCTTACTATCCATCCTTCAGCATCTTCTCAAACCGCTGAGCCCCCTTCTCCTGGGAGGATTTTTTTCCAAAAAGAAATATTTTCTTCCTGTCTGAAAGTGTCTGTATTAATATTAAAATTACAATTAGGAGATGAAACATATATAACCTCTCAGTAGGACATGTAAAATAAGATGACAGAGTTGCCCAATTGGTCAGGGCAGGAGTCTCTGTGCCGGTCCTGGCAGTTCTTGATGCCGTGGTTTGTGAACATGCTCGTGCCATGACAGAGCACAAAGCTCTGCTTCCCTCCTGCCCTTCAGCTAAAGTGTACAGGGCAATGCAGTGCTGGCAGCTCTAGTGGAGAGCAGAGGGCCCAGGGGCTGGCCGGCAGGTCACAGCATCCATATGTGCAGAAAGGACAGGGCTGGCTCTGTCAGCATTGGCTCATTGCCATGTCAGAGCTCTGGCAGCTCAGTGAGGACCAGCCCTATCCCTCCCTGTACCTGCAGGGAGGATTTGTTGGGCTCTCCATGTAAGTGAGCATCCAGACCTATGTGCAGATGACCTGTTTGCATCATGCAGGATGTTAAATTTTGCCATAATGTGACTGCTGAACACCAATTTTTGTGAAGTGTGCCAGGTACTTCCCCATAAATAAATGATGGAGTGTTATTCAGTCCACTTAGATCAATACATGAGCTTGACAAGTTCCCATTCTGGGAATTTTCTGACCCCCTGGAGCATTTTCTCTGCATCTGTGCTACTTTTAATCCACGGTGTGCAGCCCAAACAAACTCCAGAGACCCAACGTGTTGGTGCTGCCACCTTGCTGACTGCAGCATTGCTGGGGATGGACCCTGATGTGCACTGAGATTTCAGCAAGGGCAGGCGGGCGGAACTCAGTGCCAAACTGCACAAATCCCGTGTTCTTCCCCCTGAACCCAGCGCCACGGAATGGCCCGGGCTCACTGGCATGCCCTCCATGCATTCCTGTCTCAGCACAGAGGGCTATCTTTGTCCCCCAGCAATGTCAGAAATAGGCCAAGGAGCTCTTGTTTCAGGCTCTTTGCAAACTGAGGCAGATGTGTCATGGCCACCGGGAAGGTTTGTGACCTAGTGCAACAGGAGGATGGTTTCAGACCCTTTTTGCTCTATTATAAAGTCAGCCTCAAATGCTGTGATTCTGTCATGCCCATGCCCCAGGCTGCTGTACCCCATGTTTTATCCCCACTTCTTGGTTTTGGATTTTCTGCAGTGAGGTACAAGTTACCTAAGGACCTACCTCCCCATACCAGCACTTTTAACTAGGTGTGGATTATCCATAGTGCTGGGTCTGTGCATGGAAACACAGTATGTTCCTAATCTCCAGCTCCTGTTAGCTCACATTTATCACAGGAGTATCTGCTTACCTTTGATTCGAGATCCCTCCATCAGGGACCCCAGGGCGGTATTTGTCTGTGAACTGCTGCGTATGCCTATGGGATTGTATAAGTAAATAAATATAATTAATAATCATCTGACTTCAGAGCAGCATTGGCAGGGAGGTAAATGTAGCCTTCACAGAATTACAAACAAAATCAGGAAAAAAGGAAAACCTTTATAGGAGCTGGTATGAATAGAAATAATTGTATTCAAGCTGCTGGAAAATTACTCTGCAAACATCATTTGGGTGGTTTTCAGCAGATCAGAAGCATTGAGTTTCTCTCTAAATCAGAATTTTGGCCAAAACCATTTAAAAATAGTTGGGTTTTTTTAAAGATCCCTGTGGTTTTTATCAATTAAAATGCAGGTAAAAATAAAAAACCACAGTGTCCTAGCCCTGCTTCAAGTTTCTGACCTAAAACCAGTTCCTACAACACCAGGACTGAACCAGAGGGAAGGACAAAGTAGTGAAATTTCCTCACAGAAGGGATTTTGTGGCATTTTTAAAAATCCTTTGGCTTGTGAGTGAACCAGGGACATCTCAGCCATTCTCACAGTTTGCCCTAGGGATGAGTGCTGACGGGACAGGGATCTGCACCCGTGCCAGCGGCTGTGTGGGGCTGGAGTAGTGGCGGAGCATGTGGGAAAGTGGTGGACACCA